GGTTTAGACCTGGTTTAGACCTGATTTAGACCTGGTTTAGACCTGATTTAGACCTGGTTTAGACCTGATTTAGACCTGGTTTAGACCTGGTTTAGTCCTGGTTTAGTCCTGGTTTAGACCTGGTTTAGTCCTGGTTTAGACCTGGTTTTAGATCTGGTTTAGACCTGGTTTAGACCTGGTTTAGACCTGGTTTAGACCTGATTTAGACCTGGTTTAGACCTGGTTTTAGACCTGGTTTAGCCCTGGTTTAGACCTGGTTTAGTTCTGGTTTTAGCCCTGGTTTAGACCTGGTTTAGACCTGGTTTAGACCTGGTTTTAGACCTGGTTTAGACCTGGTTTAGACCTGATTTAGACCTGGTTTAGACCTGATTTAGACCTGGTTTAGACCTGGTTTAGACCTGGTTTAGTCCTGGTTTAGACCTGGTTTAGTCCTGGTTTAGACCTGGTTTTAGACCTGGTTTAGACCTGGTTTTAGACCTGGTTTAGACCTGGTTTAGACCTGATTTAGACCTGGTTTAGACCTGGTTTTAGACCTGGTTTAGCCCTGGTTTAGACCTGGTTTAGTTCTGGTTTTAGCCCTGGTTTAGCCCTGGTTTAGACCTGGTTTAGTGTCCGGAAATGAGTGGAATTACGGGAAAAAAAAAAAAAAGGGGGGGTACAGCCCAAAATATAAAAACAGGAAAATACCGCCGTGTAATCCATTTAGTTCAACAAAATAACTCTAATCCAATTACCACACACTGAAACAGTAACTGTAACTGAATGCAGTTACTCATAATTTGTACTCTGATTATGTAACTTTGGTACATGTAATCTGTTACTCCCCAACACTGGTCATACATCTCATCTTGAAAAAAAATATTTCAAAGGACTAACATCCAGATTTCGGGGCAATTTTGGTCCATAATCGAGTATAAAGTCCCTGATAGTTTGTTGGGATATCGCAGCACTCCACACAGACGCATCAGCGGCATTCTCAATTTGTAAGCTTCACTCTCCGAAAATCCGTCACTATCGCTGTTTTCCACTTTATAATCAACTGCATCATCACTTCGAAATTTATAAAAGTCACTTTCTCTAGAGCCGGAACCATTTCCAGTGGTCGTCAAATAGGTTAAACCCTTATAGTCAGAAGGTCCACTAGTCAGAAGGCCCTGCAGTCAGAAAATCATTCCCTCTTCTGTTGGTTTGTCAGCAACATTTCTCTTGAACAATTGAATGTATATTTGATGAAAGCAGCAGAGAATAATCCTGTAAATAATAAACTTTTGGATATTTACCAATTAAAAATGGCTGCAACATCAACATTTTTAGAGATATTGACAGGAAAATGCATAATCATGTATAACAGCATTAGTTAAGACCAACATTACTTAATTTGTTGGTTTACAAACCCACCAATGCTATATTAAAAAGAAAAAGATTTAAAATAAAATTGAAATGAAGGTTGTAGAGCTCGAATTACTGAACATTTTGCAAGTTGTTGCCTGAAAATCAGACAATTATTAACCCTGTTACACTTTCCTCAAACATTTTTGCTGTATTTTAAGGGTTTAATATATTTATTACTTTTAATATTTACTTTTTAAAATATTTAAAGCTTGAAATACAATTTCATTTGTAACAATTTGTAACATGACCTGAACATGATTTTTTTCTGACTAGAGGCTCTTCTGATGATGAGGCTGAGTGATACAGCGGAGGAGTCAAAACACGTCATTAAGGGTACAAGGGGGGGTCGTCAAATGTCGTCTTCATGGGGGAAAGAGTTAAATCCACATCTCCTTCTGTGTACACGATTCATTCCGTAAATATGTGAGAATAAAAACGTGTCTGAATACACCTTCTGTTTGCAGAGTTTGTAACATTATCTATTGTTGTTTTAGTGTTAAAACAGGAGGATAGGCAGAGAGTTTGGGAGCTGGCGTTGCCGTGAACAGCTGCTCTGGCCTGATATGAGCGCTGCTTTGTTTCCCACAGATTCAAACTTTGCTAATGACTCTTTTGTCTAATGAGCCAAGTTGGGAAGAGTTGGTTTTGTCATCTCTGGTCCATAAATATGCATTTGCTCACACGCTTCCACCACGAGTGCTCCGCTTCTTCATTATTGTGGTTTTAAAGCATTTGGGGACGTTTATTTTTAAAACATTGGGATTGTCTAGTCATTTTCAAACTTGCTTATCGTTAAATATGACAGAACCAGGTCTGAGTGTGACTACAGCAGGGCTTAATCAGGTCGAAATCCCAGGGTGAAGCTGGGAATGAACCAGTTCTGAATGAGGACTAAATCTGGACTAACTCAAGTGCAAGTTCACACAGGGGTTTTTCCACATTCCACATGGAGCATATCTAAAGGTGTTTGCCAGGGACAAAAGGGGTGAAGTTGGTGTAGGTGAAGGGCTAGGAACAGAAGATTAGACTGCAGCTCTCTGGGCGGTAGGAAAACAGTAAAAACACAAGAGCAGTGTTGGGAAGGTGACTTTTAAAATGTAATCCCTTACAGGTTACAGATTACATACACCAAAATGTAGTTTGTAAAATAATCCATTAAATTACTTAAAGTGAGCAACGTAATCTGATTACTTTGGATTACTTGATTTGCTGTAGAGAAGCAAAGATGAGGAAATCTTCACATAAAATGTTTTGTTTGATAAAAGAAAATAAAAAAACAGACTTTACTGAATCAAATATAATTTGTACTCTGATTACGTAACTCCGGTACATGTAATCTGTTACTCCCAAACACTGCACAAGAGACTGCAGAATTATGTTTGGTGCCGTATATTGAAAAGTGAAAAGTGGGGTGAACAAAATATATATACAACATTTACAGTGATCACAGTAATCTGCAGATTGCTTTTATCATCTTAGTCAGCTCAATTAGGGTGACCATTTTTCCATTTGTGAAAACCCGGACACCTACCAGGGGTGGGAGATGGGGCCTCGACATTGAGCTACAGTCCCTCGCTTTATCATGGTTCACCTTTTGCGTTCTTGCCGTTTCGCAGACTTTTTTTTTTTCCGCAAAGCGCGATCAGGCAATTGCCGCGTTTACCTCAGTGAGGTGCGGAGCTCTCCGTCGGTCCTTTCTCCTGCGGTCACCTCCGAGCCCGCCCCGACAGTGAGTCCTGTTTCACTTCTGGTTTAGTCCTGGTTTAGTGCTGGTTTACTCTTGTTTTAGTTCTAGTTCAGTCCTGGATTAGTTACATCATATCGCAGGTTATTTTTAGATCGTAACTCCCGCAATAAACGAGGGACCACTGTCACCTCACAACCTGTGCACATGGCCTCCCACTTGTCTCGACCGGAAAATGGAGAATTTCTTGTCCAAGTCATTGTTAAATACACATTTGTGTTTCGGCATGTTGCAGACTGACCCACTGTTTGTGTCTCACTCCTTCTGAGTAACAGAGAGCTATGAGAGTCGCTCAATTTAATGCCCCCAATGAACGGTAATGAAAACTCAGACATTTGCATCACTTAAAAAAACAAACAAACCTGGATGCCCAGGACAGGAGGCAAAATACGGACATGTCCGGGGAAAAACGGACGTTTGGTCACCCTAGCTCAATTCAAGTCAGGTTAATACATTCAAAGCAACAATAATAAATAAGTCACTTTGCTGGTGTCCGTATCATTGTCCACGGGCAAATGTGGATTTTAAGGTCCACAATTCATGTCCATATTGTCTTTTAAAGGGTGTGTGTGATTGTCTATACGCGCGTTTGAATAGGTGAAGTGTGGGAGCGGACCGGCCGCAGCAGCCACTACCCGACCGTAGAAGCTGTATGGAGTATTGTGAGTTGTGTGCAGAATTCCTGGGTTCAGCTGGGATGTGTTTCGCCAATTCCCTCGTGTTATAGTTTTGTACGGTCTATTCACCTTCAGGTGCTAGCGGTCAGGGCTCCTGCGCAGCCGTCCTGTCTCGCCTCACTCCCGGGTGTGAATGGAGGAAGGGGAGCAGGTGACTTGTTGAAAGCGCGAGAGTGAGCATGATGTGTTTACTGACCGGTCGTAGTCGGAATATTGGCTATTGACTGTAAATCTGTATATTTTAACCTGGGTTACACACATTTTAAGCAGAAAGATTTTAGTAAGGTTTAGCAGGAAGCCAGGACTAAATCACATCTCAGCCAGGACTATAATCTGGTCTAATAATTCTTGAGACATAAACCAGGACTGAACCAGTACTAAACTAGGACTAAATCAGGACTAACATAAATTATTCCACATTTAAGCATAAAGATCTTCTAGTGAATTCTAGCACTAAGTCTGGACTAAACCAGGTCTAATTCAGGACTATAAGAACAGACTTTTAGACTAGCGTTTTTAAATCCACTTTTTGATTTAAAGTGGTTTTCTTATATTGTATTTTCCATTTATAAGTGAAGAAAAATAATTTGGACAGGTCAAGGGATATGTGGTGCTGAAGGTGAAACTATTTTCTTGATAGTATCAAACAAAACCTTTGAATTTTTCCTGTTCATTGACACAAGGTTGGAAAAATAATCAGTTCTAGTCTTGTTTTTAGTGTTGAATATCTCCTTAATTTGAAATCTTTGAACTTCAAAAACTGAAGATTTCCAAAGTCTATTAAACTATTTTACGACGTTGGCATTTAAAAGACAAAATGTCTTAATTTATCCATGTGAGAGCGATTTTTAGCAGCTGTGGTTTTAAATTTCACAGGAGTCACATTTTTGAACAAAGTTTTCAACATCTGTACCTTCATCAAAAAGACAATCAAGTCAGAACATTTTTCCACAGTGTCGGGTTCTAGTTCGTCTTTTTGACCCTTTCTTTGAACTCAGATATTCCAAGTTATGTGATAAACGAAACAAAATGCATATTGTGTGTTAGACCAGGACTAGAATGAGTAGACCAGATTTACAATAAAACTCAAACTGGGCCCAAACCAGGACCACACCAGACCAAATGTGAACACGCCTTTAACCTTGTTATTTGTCCATCCTTTAACCCTTTGTTTCCTGTTTCTGCAGACAAACGATGTGGTGGGGAACACGTGGAACTGGCTCTACTTCATCCCCCTCATCATCATTGGCTCCTTCTTCATGCTCAACCTGGTGCTGGGAGTCCTGTCTGGGTCAGTACATCACTATTAAATCCAACGCACACCAAAATGCGTCATTTCCCACACGTCAGACCCACATGTCCACACTGAGCGCCGCACGTCACGTCTCTTAAAAAGCCTTTAACACAAGTCTCGCTGTGTTTTAAATGAGTGTTTTATCTGCAGATGACTTACAAAATAAAAGGCACAGCGTGAGGCAGTGAGAGCAGAGGAAAGACGCTGTTTGAGGAGGTTACGGTGAGTTTAGCGAGAGATGTGAGAGGAGCCGGCGTTTCGCAGAGTTGAACAGCGGGGCTTTCCCTGCCTCTGCTTCAGCTCTCGTGGATCTCCTCAAAGTTTACAGTTCCTTTTGTGGGTCACCGAGCAGAGACATGCCTCTCACTGCAGAAGTGCACAATGCCTCGTGTTTTCAGACGCAGTGCCGCATCTCGATTCAACAAACCCCAATCGATGCACAGGGTGGAGCGCCCAGTGTGTGTCTGCTCATAGAAAATAATGAAGGCGGCAATTTTGCGGCACATCAAAGCGTCCTGGTGCACGTTGACCTTTAGAATACCTTTAGAACATTTCACCACTGATCAGATTCTGCTTTAGACCAGCTCATTTGGATGCAAGGTACATTTTCACAGGCCCTGACCTACTTCAGTCATATATTTTAGCATCTTTTTTTCAGGCTGGCATTGCAGAGTAGATTATTTTAATTTTAAGGAGCACTTTATAGTAAATTTGTCCTCTGCATTTGACCCATCTTTCAGTGTCTCTGGGGGCAACCTGTCTGGTCTTGATGCTAAGGATTAGACTCCATACTTACTCCATACGTAATGATTTTCAATAAAATACTTACTTCATATTTTCCGTCGGGTCTCATATCTGTGTAATCCCACAGTTATTCATATCCATAACACTTTAAAGCCTGTGAACTTGTAATGATTATCGTTATATAATAGTTGATAAACGTGACAGCTTATACAGCAGGGGTTGGGAACATATGGCTCGCGATTTTTGATGATTGCGTCTGACTTGCAGATAAAACATAAAATATTATATTAATACTTGTTTTAGGCTACGTTTACACATAGACAGGTATTTTGAGAAACAAATATTTCCTTCCCTCTGTTTTCCAAAATAATATCATGCAGCATTGTTTTCAAAAAAATGTTGTTTACATCGACCCACATAAATACGCCATCGTGCGCCGTCATAACTACAACAAGATGGCACCTGGATTAGACTCAAAGTGAACGGGCTCGCCTCTCCACAGATATGTTGTCCATCTCTGGTCATGGATATGATTCATCAGCTGTGTGCAAATGCAAACACATGAAAAGTGTTTGTACCAGAACAAATAGATGAGCTGAAGTGGGGAGTGGTGTCCGGTGCCTCCACCTGAGAAGCTCTTTCCCCTGAAAAAAAAACACATGTGCGGACGGAACAACATATAACGAACCAAACGGACTTCACCCTTCTGTCCGGATGCTTTGCACCACCTTGGAACGAGCCGCGGTCGAGTGCGGAGGACCACAGCAGCCTGCACGGACCTGTGGTCCACATTCTCACTTTCCCCACATGGAACCAGCACACAGACGACTGCACTGAAGCACTCAGATCCAGTCCTTTGCGCACTGGTTTTGCTCGCCCCCGTCTGGAACCAGGACATGGAGGATGGAGCCTCTGGACCGATCTGACCAACACTGGACCCCCAGCCCCGTCTTGAGGAGCTGAGCACTACGGTGACTGCTCCCGCCGTGTGTTTAGCGCTGTTACCCGAACTCAGAGCTTCTGCTCTAGGCTGATGTGCGGTGAGTTTGTACAAAGTTCCAAATGCTGCTGTTTTATGAGTTTGTGGCGATAACTTGAGATGAGGCCCGCGGTGTTAATGGAGAACATAGATTCCTTTCGCAATTGGAGGAACATTGGGAACATCGGTCTGACCCTGTCTGGGTCCGTATGAGATGGCGTCTGGACTACAAAGTCATCAGCAAATCAATGCAGCACCAGAAGTCGCATTAATGGTGAGTATTATAACATTACATAAAACAATAAATTCAAAGGCTTATTATACTCACATTTAGTTTCAGTCTTAAAATATATTATATGGCTCTCACTGAAATAAATTTCCAAATATTTTGCTTTCATGGCTCTTTTGAGTCAAAAAGGTTCCTGACCCCTGTCATACAGGGTATCTTCATTTGTCTTGCATGAGTGTATCTTGATCTGTATCAGAACAAGTATAAAACCACATAGACTAGTATACAGTGCCACCGTGATAGGCCTGTCACGTTCACTTCTTGGGTCTGTCTGGTGTTGGTGGTGATGTGTATATCTGCTGTTGTTACTTCCTGTAGGTGTAATAAGTTAATGAACACAAGAAGACAAAATGAACATCATGATAACACATATTGAAGCACGATGTATTGCTGAAGAAAATATAGAAGATAAACAACAATACTGACACTAATTTATGCCACTGACATATTAATCCTAAAGGAGAATTATCCCCATAAAACTGTTCTAAATGTTTATTATGGTTTAAAATACATGAGCTGCAGTAAATAAGCAGCAGAATGAAACACTTGAGTAATTAATTTGTGTTTATAATGACTCATAGAAGTTTATTATTCAACCCTCCACTGCTCAAACCTCATCATAGAACAGAAAAATCACAAAAAAAGTTTCCCACTAGTACAAAGGAAAAGTACCACCATAAATACTGAGCCCCAAAAATATATTGTTCTATTTAACAGATATTCAACAATAAGCACTGTTGGGCAAGTGACTTCTTGTTTCTGTTATTTCAAAGTAATTTGTTCTGTTACAATATTTCTGTATTTAAAATGTAAGGCATTGCACGACTATTACAGCACTTTTAAGTTACTCTCACCAAAATAACTGTTGCTGATTATCGGATAACAATCAGTGAGCGAAGATGCCGAACTTTTGCTCCGCATATGGACTGAACCAGGACTAAACCAGAACTGAACCAGGACTAAACTAGAGCTGAACCTGGACTGAACCCAGACTAAACTAGAACTGAACCAGAACTGAACCAGGTCTAAACCAGGACTAAACCAGGACGAAACCAGGTCTAAACTGAGGACTGAACCGAGAACTGAGCCAAGAGGACTGAACCACATTTTAACCAGGACTGAACCAGGATTAAGCCAGGATTAAACCAGAGCTGAACCAGGACTAAACCAGGACTAAACCTGGACTGAACCAGGACTAAACCAGGTTTAAACCAGGACTAATCTTGAACTAGGATTTGGAATCTAGGAGCGCCCATGAGAAAACCTCGAGGCCGTGGAGCAGAGTGTTCGCCAAGCTCGACTGGGCGTCAGCTACGATTAGCCCCGTGGAGCGCAGAGTTTCTCCTGCGGTCACCCGACAGTCTACACGAGCACACCTCCGGCCCGTCCCGACATTCGGAACTGTAACGATGTCATTTCACCGCTGCTGATATCACGCCAATTTTAGCAAATTTGTATGAAGAAAAACGAAAAACCCACCACTTCAATCCAGGTTAAATGCATTGTAATGTGTGTTACTGACATTTGTACCAAGTAAAATATAAAAAAAATTTCCCTGTAATGCCACATTACTGGGTTACAGCAAGAAGTAATTTGTTACTTTTATAATGTGTTTCTCCCAACTCTGACAATTAAAGAGATATAATAATTATCGTGACAGACCTCCACTTCTCTGCAACAGAAATGCCCCAAACAAAGCCACACCTTAAACCTGGCTGAGTCCTTCGTCCTGTGTCTGTTACAGTGTCATTAATCAACCATAAAGTTTATTAAAAAATTTAAAATGGAGTTAAGATCAGACAGAGCAGCTTAAATATGAGACTTGGACCAAAGAGCTGGGCCGTTAGAGAGTGGCTCTCCACATCCACGTCCATATATCACCATGAGAGCGCCGCTTTCTTTCATGGCCCAAGGCTGAGAGCACAACTGTGTGTCATTTATGGAGATTATACAGTGAATATGAAGACAGCTCTGAGTCTGTCTGAGCCATAAATCTTATAAACCTTGCTCCTTTCACAGATTTCACAAAAAATTAAACATTTCTTTAATAATCAATTCCCACCCCACAAACCAAACCAAATCACCCAGGAGCCATATGTGTGTTACAATATGTCTCTTGTACTTTCTTTAACTTTTAACATTTTCGTTAGTCACATGCTCCATTATTATTTTATCCTTGTACATTTTCTTGAATTTAGAAACACTAGTGCAACTTTTAAAATCATGATTTAACAGGTTCCATATCTTGACTCCATACACAGAGGCACATTTTTGTTTTCATGTTGTCCTTGAAAATACAGTTTGGAAAAAAATATTGTCTTCTTTGGACACAGTCTGATGAGACAAACATAAAAAAGATTCTGTAGAGCTTCGGGTAAATGTCTTTGTTTGTCTCTCCACAGAATGAATAAAATCTTAAGATTAACTAAATCTTTAAACTTTAGTTGACTTAACAAACACTTACAAACAGATGAGTGGTGTGCTCTCTGAAAAAGAATCGCCTTTGAGTATTGTATTGAAACTATATCAAAATCAATGACAAAACCGGTCCACATTGGCCGCGTTTTACGTTTTATAATGTTTTTTAATTCTGAATTAATTGTTCTGAATTAAATAGTTTGGAATTTAAATATTCTCCTTCAAGTGGACATGGAAATAATAATTCCGAATTGAGGTTCTGGAAAACACCTTAAATCACCTTTATTTAATTCCACTCAACGTCTTGGGGTCAGGAAGACTCTGATTGGTACTAGTAGCAGTTGTAGGGAGTATTATCTGGTCCTTAAGATTGAGTTGTACAGTTGTAGGGAGTATTATCTGTTACATAAGGGTGAGTTGTTGTACAATTGTAGGGAGTATTATCTGTTACATAAAGGTGAGTTTTTGTACAGTTGTTGGGAGTATTATCTGTTACATAAATATGAGGTGTTGTACAGTTGTAGGGAGTATTATCTGTTACATAAGGGTACAGTTGTAGGGAGTATT